CATATTTTAAAACATAAAAGGAATCAAAGTGAAATAAAAACATGAGCTATCTCCTGGAGACTTAGGATGATTATATTGCTCAGAAAACAATCTAAAGTTGTAAGGCACTGGACAAAGGATTAGTTTATCTTCTTTTGTACCTATGTGATTCATTAGTGAATCAGCGTGATTAGAACTCAAATAAGTAACCAATGTGTTTTTCTTGTCTTTCTGATGCCTGTGTTACCAGCATCGCCTCAAACAGTTTCAATTTAGACTTCTGAAGGAGACAATGGTGAGTTCTCACACATGGCTGTCTGCGTGCTCAGATTATTGTTCATGGGGTCCTTCTATCTACTTCTAAGCGATCAGGATTCATATTCAAGTGGATCCTGATTCTCAGACTGTCCTTATAACAGTCAAAGTAATACAGTCATAATATTGAAACTAGGGATGAACCAAGGAGTTTGCAGTTAGGTGTAAAAATGCTATGTCTACAAGCAGCTCTGTGACAATATTGCCTGCCACATAATTTTAGGGGATGAGGGGATGAGAACTTTCAGTACCCACATTTCCAACTTGGCTATGTTCGACTATCGGGATTGTGACAACATCTCCACATAACTTAACCAAGGACTTGTCTGAAGATGTCCATTCTCTTGACCAATAAATAGCAAGAAATAATCTTTTTTCTGAGTATATAAGGAAAAAGGGATATGTGTTGTCAAACTGCTACACTGTTTGCATAAAAATTGCCTGAATAAGTATGATGAAAAGGTATGCTATAAATTCAGAAGGAAGCTTTACAGATACAAGAGATATCATTATCTTTTTGACTGACACTGAGCTGGATACATTTCCACTACAGTCCTCTTACTAAGAACAATGGTAAATTTTATCTTTGTTCAATTGTGTAAATAAGATAGGACCAACAGTTTACCTATGAAAATAGGAAGAATATAGCCATCAACTTCCATTTCTTTAATCATATTCCAGGATTTCTAGATCAAAGCAATGACACTTGAGAACTTCACAATATTCACTGAGTTTGTGTTCTTAGGACTCTCTGCCAGGAGAGATGTGCAACAGGGGTTTTTCCTGTTATTCTTCCTTGTTTATGGCATGACTGTGATTGCTAATCTAGGCATGATCCTGCTGATCAAGGTTGACCCCAGACTTCACACACCTATGTATTATTTCCTAAGCAATCTTTCCTTTTGTGACATTTGCTACTCCTCCACTGTCTCTCCCAAGATGTTAGTTGATTTCTTGTCTGAGCAAAAGAGGATTGAGTATAATTTATGTGCCATTCAAATGTACTTTTTCGGCGCCTTTGCAGATGTAGAATGCCTCATGTTGGCTGTCATGGCCTATGATCGTTACGTTGCCATCTGTAATCCCCTGCTGTATACAGTCGCTATGTCCAAGAGGCTATGTACCCAGCTGGTGGCTGTTGCCTACAGTATGGGCTTGGTGGATTCAGCAATCCACACATGCTGCACATTCCGACTGTTCTTCTGCAAATCAAATGTTATCAATCATTTTTTCTGTGACATCCCACCCTTGCTTGCCCTCTCCTGCTCAGATACCTCGGTTAATGAGATAGTGATGTTCACATTCATTGGCTGTGTGGTGGGATGCAGCATAGTTACTGTCATCCTCTCCTACAGCTACATCCTAGCTACCATCTGCAGGATGAACTCTGCTGAAGGCAGATGCAAAGCCTTTTCAACCTGTGCTTCCCACCTAACTGCAGTGGCCATTTTTCACGGAACACTCCTCTTCATGTACTTCCGACCCAGCTCAAGTTACTCAATGGACACTGACAAAATGGCCTCTGTTTTCTACACGGTTGTGATTCCTATGTTAAACCCATTGATCTACAGCTTAAGAAATAAGGATGTGAAGGTTGCTCTGAAAAAAGTAATCAATAGTAAATTGTGTAACGGATGAGCTTTATTTACCATCTCAAAATGAGTAGGAGGCTCTAAGATGTTAAAGGGCTTTGAGAAAAATCATATATTAGCATTTCATGTGTAATAATGTTTTTGTGTATCTGAAAAATAAATTAATTATAACAGAGTCTAAACCACCTCCAGTAGTCTAGATATTAACTAATGCTATAGTGTATGTTGATATGCTATTTATTTAACTAATATTGACTTAACTAAGAATTGCCTTCATTAATATGTTTTTCTAGATTTATTCACTTTTTGATTAATTCAAACACAATGTCCACAGGACAGGTGCTTCAAATGAGTGTTATAGACTGTAGTACAGCATACCAAGTTTTACATGAAAATATAAGGTTTATTTAAAGTTAGTAACAGGAATACCAACAAGGACAAATCCACCTGAGCATGCATAGAAACAGTGGTACTGCTTGGAAGGTGGAAAGTGCAGTAGCAGCCTGCAGGTTCCATGGAGAACACCTCTGGGGAACCAGCACTACTCACAAGTCAAAGGTCCAGCAGTAACAGGGTGGATTGTCTGTGCCATGCCCTTCTTAGAAATCAAAGTTATGAAGAATGTGATAGATTTTTTTCCATTCTGATACACTTACAGGGTTCTCAATTCTAATTTTCTTATATAACGTTATGAAACCTGTTAAATAAAACATCTCTAAAATATTAAGTGCCACTAATCATCTTAGGCATGAAGCAGTTTAAAAAATTATGCGACTTTACCTTAGATATCTGTGTTGCGTTACCAATTAAACAGAGTTCATTATAAATAAAACTGTCCTGTCTTTTATGTCTTTATAATCTCAAATGAATGACCTGCCCCTCACTACTGCCAATTTTCAGTTCAATGTACTTATTTAAAATGATCTCCTCCATCTGTCTTAAACTTTGTTTTCTTTTGAAGAGGTTGTTCTACTATCTCTAAACATTGTCAAGAACCCATGATTTTGAATTTTTTAGTTAAGTTAGTTCATTGCTAATTGTACACATGTATATCATGTACTCTATTTACTCTCACCCCCTGCCCTTTGTTCTCTCCCTGTCACCCTTATTAACCCTCCTCTCTTTTCTTCACCCTGTAGAGTCATTGGTGGTTCACAATTGGAGTAACAATATTCCTTTCCCTGAGCCATTCTGTAGCAACTAGTTCAGCTGTGAACAATAGAGCTGTCTGAGCCCCTCCTCCATCTTGAGAGGGCCTGTCAATGGGCCCATTCGTGAGCAGGCTGAATTTTCAATCTTCTGTGATTGTTTAGTTTGAGGGTCTGTTGTTCAGAAGATGAAATGTTGCAACCCCGTCTCTCCTTGTCTTATGGCTCTTACAATCTTCTGTTTCTTGTTTCACAGTGGTCCTTTAACCTTGGAGCGATATATAGATAGATAGATAGATAGATAGATAGATAGATAGATAGATAGATAGATATAGATAGATAGAGATAGATAGATGATAGATAGATGATAGATAGATAGATGATAGATAGATAGATGATAGATAGATAATATAGATATAGATATAGATATAGATGATAGATGTAGATATAGATATATATATCTCATTTAGGGATGAACTGGGTTTTTTGGTTGTTTTTTTCACTTGAAGAAAGTGACAAAAGTAGGACAAACTCTGCAAAGGGAACTTTGAGGGAGAGATTGCCTAAAATCTGTGTGTACTGTTTATTTGGTAGTTGTATGAGGATACTCAGGCATAAGCATTCATTGCACTGACAGTGATGTGTGTGTGTGTGAGTGTGTGGAGTAGGTAGAAGAGATAAAGGTAGATAGAAATAAATATAGGGAAAGAGATAGAGAGAGAGAGTCAATTATGTGATCAAGAGAAACCTTTGCAATTCTATTATGTCAAGTGTCAGGGAAGAACCTCCTAGTGCTAAGACGAACGGCAATGTGTATAGCAAGTTAGTTTAGTAGACACTCCTAGGCTCACCTTCTCTTCTCCAGAGAGCTACTCATATTCTAGCTATAGATTCTGACCCCAGGGCCAGCTTGGAGTTCTTTGCCTAGTACCTGATGTTTTCCCTCCTTGACTCTGCCCTTACTCTGGTAATTGTGGACTACAGTCTTCATTACTCAGTGTCATACCAGATGCTACAGAGTACAGTCTTCATTGCCTGATGTTCCTACCAGATGCTGAAAAGAACTCTATTGTTTTCAGTCTCAGATCCCATATTCCCAATGGTAGAGTATGCATGATTAGTCCCATAATGTCTCATTGAATGCAATCCTTTGTGGCCCTGCCCCAAGGGTTGTAGTTTCAATCACACATTTAGTAACAAAGCAATGGATAACTGTAAGGACTTATTTTGCTTTTCATTATGAGTATATGTGCATCTCTCTGTGTGAGAATGTACATGTGAGTGCAGTGTTTGCAGAGTCTAGCTAAGGAACCTAAGATTCTCTGGAGGTAGACACAAAGAAGTTTGTAAGTTTCCTAACATGGATGTTGGAACCAATCTTGCATAATCTGTAAGGTAAATACATGGTATAAACCTGTGAACTACCTGTCAAGCTCAGTAACATACATTTTTGAATGTCATAAGGTTATTCTTATAAGTTCAGCTCACATTTCACCATTCAGGCTCATCTTTGCATTTAACACTATTTTGTTTTAAACATACCAGTTAACCTATCTTATAACATGCCTGTGTCATGGTATAGTAAAGTAATCCACCATCCTACCATTCTGTGTCACCATTCCCCATCCTTGGTGTTAACCGTAACTTCCATGGAATCATCAGCGACATTATTACAAATGAAGGAGTTTTGAATGCAGTCGGTCATTGATAAAATATTTTTAAATATTTTCTTATTTTTATTTTATGTGTATGAGTGTATTGCCTGCATGTAGGTAAGTGCACCAGTGTCATGAAATGCTGAGGAGGACAGAAGAGGCCATTGGATCACATGGAACTGGAGTGACAGACAGTTGTTTGCTGCCATGTGGGTGCTGAGATTCAAACCCAGGTCTTCTACAAGAACAACCAGTGCTCTTAACCGCTGAGCCATCTGTTCAGCACCATCCTTGATAAAATATTTAAAGGACACAATTTAAAAATCACTTCTATAAAAATTTTCAAATGGCTTTTAAATTGTTTTTGAAAAACTCATCCTACATGCTATTGACTTTTAATAACCTCCAGGATATACAGTAAATCTTTGGAGATTGAAGAGCAAATATTAAAAAAGGAATAATTAGTTGTTATATATTGAAGGCATATGAGATAATATATGTGTGTATGTATTTTATGGATAATATATATTTATAGATAGATGCTAGATAGGTAAATAGATGATAGATAGATGCCAGATAGATAGATAGATAGATAGATGATAGATGGATGATAGATAGATAGATGATAGATTGCTCAGGATATAGGCTCAGAAAAGCATTGTAATAAAAGTCTAGATATTTATATATTAAATGTTGAATGTAACTAAACATTTTAAATAGCAAAGATTTGTTGAAAACAACCGAGTATAGAAATATTGTTGCAAAGAGTAGCTGGAATTAAATTAATAACCTGTGCTTGGGGTTGTGTCTATCTAAGGTGACCTTGGTTAAAAAAACATCAGAAAGATCATATTCCGCTGATAAAAATGTTTCTCTCAGAGAGTGCCTGACTCTGGATCTTAGGGTGAGTTTCCCAAATTCCACCATGCGCGCCACGTATTTTAACAGCAACTACATCTGCTTCCACTACTCCAGAACTCAGGCTTCTTGTTTTTCTAGCAGGGGCTTGAACTTCCTTGTCCCATCACCTTTTCTGTGAGCTTTGTCCATCAGAAATGCTATGAGAGTGTCTGACTCAGCATCTGTGGGTGAACTGTCCAAATCCTGCTGTACCTATCCTTTTGCATTGAGAAAATCTGCCATCCCTCACACTACTCCAGGACATAGAGTTTCCTGCTGGCCTGTAGGTATCAGCAGATCCATTTCTCACATTTTCTCCTCAGACATTGGCACTATCCCTTTGAGACTACTGAAGTGTACCTAACTAGCCTGGGCTGCTTCACCCATCTAGAGACTTCTTTAGTACCCAGCCTGGATCCAACTGCTCTGTCCAATATAAAATCAAAATAGACAACATGAAGCCTAGAATAACTAACTTTTCATTCCCAAACAGAAAGTACACTACATTAATATTAAAAACAGATACAAACTTCAACTCAAAAAGAGCAGGCTTGAGTTTTGTCCCAGAATCACAAGCAACAAAGGAAAGCCACAGGCCAAATCACAACAAAAAAGTTAAAATAATATGAACAATATAATTAGTATGTCCCCACCAAACACCATCAGTCCTATAGAACAGTTCTGCAATAAACACTGTCTAGAGGTAATTCAGGACACAAAAATTAAAAGAACAATCACAAACATGATCAAACAATTCAACAAACTTAAAGAACAGGCAAACAAACAACTCAAGGAACTAAAAGAGGAATAAGCTTCTGACTGAATTCAGAAATCAAAATAATATTAAAGAACAGTTAGTCTGGAATGAAGAAGGAAGTGAAAAAATAAGCCAATTTGAAATGAAAATAGACAGCCACACCAACAGAATAAATAAAATGGAAAACAGAATATCAGTACTGATGATAAAGTTGAAAAACTGGACCACTCAAGTAAAGAATATGAACTTTTTAAAAATATTTTTATTGAGCTTTTGTAATTTCATACTACAGTTCTTGATCAAATTAGACCCCCTCCTCATCCAGCCATGCCACCATTGCCCCACCAGACTTCATGTATCCCAACATACATGGTAAGCCCTATCCAGTCAAGTATTTGTACCCAGATGTCCTTCAGTGCAAATTGATCAAATGGAGTCTACTTAACCCACCTAGAGTATATAATTAATGCATACTCTCCCTCTCCCAGTAGCAATCAGTCTCCAATAGTTCTCAGTATATGTCCAGTCTGCCTCCCATTTCTACCTTCCACTCTGGGCCCTTGGTTAATTGCATGAACCAGCCTTG